TTTTTTTTTTTTTTTTTTTTTTTTTTTTTTTTTTTTTTTCCAATAATATCTCTTAGTTTCGAGCAAACAAGATCTTTCGTAGTTTGATCGCGTACTCAACACAAATGGTTTTTTGTGCCATTACCACCGCATCTTTTACCTTTTGTTTCTCTTTATAGATAAAATAAGTATATTGTGTTTGAATGGCTTCGCTCCTAACATTGGCAATGTAAATTCCATGTAACATTCACGAATAAATCATCAATGCTTCATTCGTATGAATAATGTATTTCGCTCGGCGTAAACACTTTGCACTTGTACCTGTGCATGACTATAACTGCCGTTTGCCCATAAATAATATCACATAAAATGTACATATACGTAATAACGATCGGTATATAGCACACGCGCGCTACTGTTAAGCTGCTCTCACTGACGATGCGTAAAAGGACCGAACCTATAACACGCAAAATCGGCGGCCAATTGTCATCTCGATCGAGCCGGTTACCTACAAATGAAAACATTTCTCTCTCTATCGAAAGAGAGAGAGAGAGAGCGTGCAATGCATCACGCGTCATTGAGAAATACACCTGCAATGCGATATATGTACTTAACGATTCGAGGGGCAGCGCCTCTTTCGTGTGGATGTAGGCATAATAAACCTATACCTGCCTGTACTTGCTACTTATAAACAGCTTCCCAAGGAGTAAAATAGTTCATCGCAATTATGCATTTATGCGCTCGTTAGGCGTGATGATGGTTAGGCAACGTTTGATGCACACGCAACAGTTGACCGGTGCATTATAATATTATATACTTGATACTACTGATTGACGTGCGGGCATTATGAAAGCACGGCCAATGTGATGATTGTGTATTTGCTCTGATTAAATTAGTATGATGTAAACACAAAATTAAGTTCACGACTCAATCGAAAGATCTACGAGGAAACTTTGTAAGGTTAAAATAATAATAATAATAATATGTATCCGCAACGTGTGCCACGTATAATTGAAATTATGCAATTTTGAGCAGATTTTTTTATATCTCATAATAAATATGTAGGTACTATATTATGTATTGACCTTTATACCAAATCTTTACTACGACAAACGTATACGTATATATACATACCTTTAAGATCGGAAAACTCGTATCTATTAAAAATATATTCGATAAACAACAAAGTAACAGCCATATATTGATTTTAGGCAAGTAATATTTTAAAAGCGTGTCTTGTAAGTACTACCCTATATTATAATTAGACGAAAATCCCATTCAAGTACTTACAATCACGTTCAAGTACTTACCTAATTAACTTTGCAAGCTTTTGTACCTCTGTTTTCATCATTTAAATGTAACTTTGGCCCATTGTTTCAGTATAACGCATATTATAATCATACACGTACGAAGCTTATTGGTGCGATGAAATGTTACGTTGGGACACCTCATCTCTCTCTCTCTCTGCCCTGTTATTTTGTCTCGTTCCGTCAAACCAATCGAGCCAATTTGGTTGGTTGGAGTCGTTGTATAAAATTGGTGGACTTACAACAAAACAAATGTGTACACCTTATCCTAACACTGAATCCTTCGATTTACATAAGCTCTAATAATAATAATATGGTGGTGGTTGATGATGATATGATAATAAAAGCCAAACATGGTTAATGAAAAAACAACAAAAAAAACAAGCAACAATTTATTAATATAATCTTGAGGCAGCAATAACAATCGAGGTAAACCACGATAAAAGGATAAAACAGAAGATCACAGAGAAAGTAGAATCAGTAGGTAGTGTAGAGTGTGAGACGTGTACACGCTGTATACAGCCGGACAGATAGCTCCGTTTTCTTTATACACACACACACGCGCGGTTTGAATAAGGCAACAAAAAGGTGTACAACCATTATCAGTTAAAAAAACACAGACACATATTTACACGAGGCGAAGGGGGGGGAGGGGGCGATCAGCGCCGGTAGGCAACGTACGGAGCGGCCGGATTGTAGGGGTTGTAGTAGGCGGCGTAGGGGTAGGCGTAGGCGGCCGGCGATGCGACGGAGTAGGCAGCCAGGGGGGCAGTGGCGAGGTAAGGGGCGGCGATGGCGTGGTTGATGGCGTGGGAGTTGAAGCTCGAGCCGACGGTTGCCACGGTCAGGGTGGCCGGTGGCAGGACACCGGCCGAACAGCCGGACATCAGTGTGAAGAATCCCACGAGGACGGCGACCACGGACACCTGCACCGACAACGACACAACATTTATAATGACCATTTTTACCACCGTTCGTCTCGAATCAACACTCGGCACATGTATATTATACACGGTAAAGTTGAGACGCCACGCCATATGATGCATGCATGCTCTCCGATTCGTGTATGCACAGAGTCTCAACGTTACAGAGGTCAAAATATCCACCGTTTATTTGTACATACAACAGTATAAAAATAAGAGAATAATATAATGGAGTCCTCCTGATGGCACTACTTATCGTATTATTTTTATACTCACGAGGCACTTGTTCGGCATTTTGCTTGGTATTGTTGTTGCGTTGGTCAACGAAAACTGCGATGCCGGAGCCGAGTCGTCCGTGGCTTTTATACTCGGTTGGCCCCCGAAAATCAGAGAAGCCCCCAACGTATGGGCTCGGATCGTCCACTTGGGCAAGCAACCGATAGTCGCCGGTGAAAATCGGGGGAGGGGTAAGCAGTGTAAGCACTGGTCGGGTAATCCCCACGCTGATCGTGATTCGCGAGTAGCGGCAGGAGGTGACAAAATCGCTCACGACGAAATAGCGATCGTGAGGGGAAAATTAAGTCGGCGCATACGTAACACTCTCCCTTTCGGCAACTGCAACATACGTATGGGTGTATATAATATCATCATAAATAGCGTATAAAGGTATAAATAACTACATGTAATTAAATTCAAAGGGGGAGATTTCGTAAATGTGCGCAAAAGCACGATAATGTAATAATTGTCCTGAAGTCCGCGATTCCACAAGTATATTATGTAGGTACGTGGTCTCTCTCGCCGGCGTAATTAGTATGAGTCCGGCGAGCGCCCATATAAGTATGTAAGAACCGGGTGGACACGCGCGCGCGCTCTTTTCTGCTTATGTAATTGCTCGTGTTGTCTCGCTCGTGACGTGTACTTGTGGCTGAAACAACACGTACACCTACATAATAAATATGTGTATACACGTATATCATGGGCATATACGTAAACAAACATTTTGGCTTTTCTCTCTTATACCGATAAGTATTTTGGCTTTTCTCGGGCCTATTGTGTACGACATTGCCAATCCCACACGTATTTTATATACTCACTAGATGGAACGATCGTTGATTGGAACTTGGACAATATAATATAAAAATATATATATATAATAAATGTGTGTGTGCATGGGCGATAAGTAAGCGTGCACTGGCTGTGGGTTGACGAGGTAAAGTTTGGGACGAAACAAAGGGAACGTGACGCGCGGGCGAAGAGAAGCCCTTCTTGGTTTCCTTTGTACTATCTACTCCTGATGATATATACGTATATGTATGTAAGTACTGGTCGTCGACGCCAAATGAGGCAGGCAAAAGAAATAGCAAAAGTCCAGGACATCGGGCGGGGAGACCGGAGGGCTGTATACGCTATACGTTATATATACACTCGGCGTCCTTGGCGTGTGGGGCTCTTGTCCCTCGTCTTTATCGCCTTGTACGTATGCATGTATATATACGTTTATACACGGGGATGCAGCCGGATATATAAACTCAAAGGGGGATATCGGTACGTAAAGATGAGTAGGATATAGAAGTGACGGGGGAGACCGTGGCCATGAGGAAAATCGTTCCGTCCTCCTCTTGTACCCTTTACTTAATCGATCCGTCTCTTTTGAGCATACAAAGATACTTATACCTGCATCCGTCCGTATATAATATATACTTACTTCTTATATGTATATATCTAATCTTCTTATATATATATTACGACAAACGTATACGTATATATACATACCTTTAAGATCGGAAAACTCGTATCTATTAAAAATATATTCGATAAACAACAAAGTAACAGCCATATATTGATTTTAGGCAAGTAATATTTNGTGTGTGTTTTTTTTTCTACAGAAAAAAGGAATCATTTGAGCCTAGAATAGTTCAAGTGACATTTAATTAATTATTAGATTTTCTAAGTAATATGCAACTTTATTGTTTATTTGGCACCAAAACATTAGATTTGAAGCAAACAAGAAAATAGCAATGATTTATATACGTGTGTTGCTCTCTCTCTCTCTACTTTTCCCACATTCTGATTAAGTAGGTACCTACACTCTCTGCCCTTTAACTTTGAATATGGCTTTGCGCAAGAAGATACACATATGTAATATATGCGACATCAAAACCTTATACGCTTCGCAACTTATGGTAGTTACATATAGATAAATATGATTCAAGCGTTTGAAGAGTATATAGGTTCCGGGTTATTATATCGATACCTCACGATTGTGTTTGTTCTTGGAATCGGATCGTGCGAGCTCGCGGAACAATTGTTACTCATGTATAATAAGTATACCTACATATTGTGTTTTTATAACATAATTGTGTTTATTTGTCAACATCACTATACATTTGAAGGACAAGTATTTCATCAGAGTCACCGGGCTACAGAGAATATTAAGTATATGTTTTTCCAACGTCGAATATTACGTAGGGTATAGGTACCATCTCGCAATGTGTTCGTTAGACTAAAAGTAAGACTATAGTAGTAGTACACTTTTTCTTTTTTTAATCCACAGCTCTTTTGTGTTCGGCACTTTGATGCGCTCGAGTGTCCATGCACAACCTAGGGGTAAGTGTACCTATCTCCGTGGCACGTACTGAAAATTCCAACTTAAATGCACCATAAAAAATGGTATACTAAAATTTTTTGGAATACTTTTTTTTCAAATCTTACATAATCTCTTACGGAATATTAAAAAAAATTTTATGAAGCTAAAACTGCAGTAGAATATTTTTAAAACGAATAAAAACGGTATGCTGGTATTACCGTGGTTGTGTACCTATTACCGTGTACGTATTACCGCGGATGTATAGGGTTATGTTTATGTACGCTCACCGCGGAAATACGTACACAATCAGTTAATGAGCGCGTTGTACCAAATACCGTGGAAAATAATTATTTACTCAAAATATACACAAATATTTCTGTTTGAATTGCATCTACATTAACGTCATTTTAGATTATTAAAATTGAAAAATTATTTTATATGAAACATTTCTTATTTTGAGCAAGTAATCATCAGTTTTTCAAAATCCACGGTAATAGGGCAGAGCACGGAGATAGGTACACTTACCCCTATTATATGAGAAAGAGGACAAGTGCTCAAAAATGAAGAGAACAAAACAAAAATACATAGACGTGCATGTTTCTCTGCGCTTTTTTTTTTTTTTTTTTTTTTTTTTTTTTCTTTCGATTCTGTTGTGAAACAATCGAGACTTATTTTTATATTTCGTATTTTTACCTCGGCTATACCATTGTTCGATAAATCTTTCCCCGTCTCTACTCTCCCTTTGCGATGAAATTCCCAAGAGACAATCAAGTCGGCCGTTATTTTACCCTTAGCTGTTTGATTGGAAAAATAGCATTTACATAATAAGATGCATTCGAATACGTGTACACATGTTTGATTTTTCTCAATTATTCGTATCATTAGTTCTATTTCTTAATTTTATTTCAATCTCGTTTAACTCGAAGCATTGCTCGCGTTCATTTATTGCTCTCAAGCTTTACAGTCATACGATTTACGGTTTAACTATGAAAATTCGTGTCAATTCGTTTAATTGATTTATTAGGCAAGTCGATGATAAATTTAAGCGTATTGAAAGGAGCGCCACATATCAGTGCGGTCACAATTCATTCGGAACTATGAAAGTTAAAATTTGCACATGAATGTAAGCAATAAAAAATAAGATTTGGATGAAAAGTTACTGGTACTTTTCAAGTTTTTTTGGATTCAAAAAGTTTATAAAAAATTGATTATAAAAGTTTATAAAATATTTATTTTTATAATTTAAACGACCCAAACAATATTGTAACGTTGGTTTTTCAAGATAAAAATCATTCATACTGATATACGTACGTACACAAGTGAGGTATTTACGTTCAATGTGGGCAGCATAGTAAAATTTTTTTTTCGTCTAAATTTTCGTATTTTACAGGAAAAATGAAGGTATGTTGCACTCGATGAAAAAAAAAATTTTTTCATCACTAAAAGTACATTTGAGTAAAAGGTGCCGAAATAAAAGCAGTACAGGTTGAAATGTTGGGTAAAAAAAATATTATTTTATTCAACAAAAAATAGCGACAACAACGAAATTTGTAGCAATTAGCAACTTAAAAAAAAAAAAAAAAGAGTAGTGTACGCGTCCAAGTCGTGGCCTAAAGTAACTTCCTAGAATTAATCAAACGACTATGAAAAAAACGGCGCAGGCAGGGCGTAGGGTGCCGCCAACGCGTGATGAGCTGGGGCGAAAAACGGCGGTACAGCAGCAGCGATAGGTCCCGGTGCCGCGACCAGCGGGGCATGATGGGCTGGTGCGGGTAGCAGGGGATGAGCGGCGAGCGGAGCGAGGAGCGGCGCTGCCCTGACTCTGGTCTCGAGGTCGACTCTCGAGGCGAATGGAAATACGTTGTGCGGCACCACGTGGGTGTAGCCTATCGCCGCTGGAGCTACCGGGGCTGCTGCTAGCACTCCGGCCTCGCAGGCGCACATTAGCCCTGCCACCATGACCATCGCGATGCTCGTCTGAAAATTACAATTTTGTTATCATATACGGGCAAAATCATGTTTATTCGAATACATATTGTTTTGCATATTATACATGTAGAGACGTACCTTTGCGAAAGTGTTCATGTTGTCTTGACTTTTGGCTCACGAGACACTTGCCGAGGTGCTGGTGTACGAAAGAACTGTGCTCCTACGGTGGGCATCGTCGGTTTTTATAAGCCGGGACACCACTTCGAACCCGACGCACTTACACTTTCTTTCGGCGCGTGACAAATTTGCCAATGGGGCGCACGTTATGATGTTAGTTACATAAAGCGCAGTCTACTTAAGCATAATACTTACCTACCGCACATACCTGGATGTAATTTTGTCACCCTCTTCAGCTATAATCAGTTTTTTTTTTTTTTTTTTTTTTTTTGTCGAGGTATACGTATAAGTTTGATACTTGAGAGATGGCACGTGAAAAAGAGATCATTTTTTATATATATTCAAGCTTATTGTTGCTGGTGCAAGTTTCATCCGCGTTTAATGTTATTTTCATCAGCATACACGGAAATACACGACAATCTCAATTATAGCGTTAGAAAAGTAAATAAATGTTGCAACACTATAATTATTATTTTCTTTTTTTTTTAATTAAGCTATTGCTATCACCCTACAGCCCAATACTTTTAACTTTAAGTAAACAAAAGTTACGAGTTTTTGTATGTGTGAGTGTGTGTTTTTTTTTCTACAGAAAAAAGGAATCATTTGAGCCTAGAATAGTTCAAGTGACATTTAATTAATTATTAGATTTTCTAAGTAATATGCAACTTTATTGTTTATTTGGCACCAAAACATTAGATTTGAAGCAAACAAGAAAATAGCAATGATTCTACACTTGAACTACTAACAGTTGTTTTAAATTTGCACTTATTTTACAAAAAAAGACCCTGCATCTACTGCCAATGTCATTATGTTGATACACGTGGACGGAAAATCTGCCTATCCGGTAATAATAGAGACCACGCGATTGAGCAGTGCAAAAATAGTACATTCGTTGGATTCACATCGAGTCATGCAATTTATTTTTTTAATGAATATTTTTGCTGTACTTCGAATTTTATTATGAGAGCGATTGAGAAAAAAAATCCTGTAATCAACGGATTCGATGAAAACGCAGTCCAGTAAAATACGCAAGCTTGAAATGGAAAAAA